CCCAAAGTGCTAAAAAAAATATTTCCTCCTCAAAGATATTGATATTTGTTTAAAGAGGATTGTCTTTGCGCCCTTCTCTCTAAGTATTAAAGAGTTAAACTGTAGTGTATTAATAATTAACATTGCATAAAGATAGGATTACTACAATTTCCATAGTTCGTTTTTAAAAATAAATGAAGTAATATGAATATTTGTTTTGATATATATTTTGCCATAATAAAGTAAATCATTTTTTAATCAGTATTTATCTTGTTGTATAACTTCATAATTATGTAAATATCAATTATTTGAATTTTACAATTGTTTATCATTAAGCTGAGATGATTAAGGATGGTAATGAAGGATCATGAGTGTGCTGTGACCTCATATAACGCGATGGTTGGATTGGACACTTATCATAAATGGGGATTTGATCTTATATAGGTCACATAACTTATATGAAACTGCCGGACTTGACATAAATGACACATATTTTTCATAAAATTTCAACTTTTTGTGAGAATGTTGTTGGGAGTACGTGCAGCCAATACAGTGTACTGGGAACCTAAACCATTGATACACGCAGATTGTAAATATGTCCTAAATGATCCTCTGCTGGGTTTGTGATTGGCTAATGATTAAATCTGAAATCTTGAAACTATATTTTTTGCATCGAGGTTAATAAGTTCATGAGTTATGATTCTTTATTTAGATATTTTTATTGTTATTTCCAAAACTACAAAATAAATATATATATAAATTATATATGAATAAAAATAACAGAAATGTGTGTTATGAAGACAAAATAGAATGACACCAACATGGGACTGTGGGAAGCTTTTTTAAGCTAAAAGACATCATAAGGTAAAACATCTTAATTGGTGATAATTTCTTAATTATTAAAACTGAAGATAAAATTATCATATCTTTGTATTTAAAGTTATTACCATAAGAAAATCATATTTAAAAATATTTGTATTTCTACATATTTTTTTTTCAAAATAATTTATTTTGAAAATCAACTTAACAAAGATCAATACAAATTGATCCTAATTATTATATTGATCATTATTTAACTTAAGGAAGTATTTTCATTAAACCTTTCTTTTACTAATCATAGTATGTTTATGATGTCCATTGAGTTGAAAGCATATATACTTACCAACTAATAGATACCATATAAAAAAAAATATGAATACAATGATAAATATGCTTCCAGCCGGGATCAAACCTTCCGACGCTCAACCACTGAGCTAAAGGGAAATTCCCTCTAGATTGAAACATAACTTATATATAATGGATTATTAGTACTTTGATAGATAAAAGTTGTGTAGTAAAAGATAAGAAATGTATTTCCTGAACTCTGACATGATAAGAAATGTGTATGTCAATATTGATTTAATCAATTATTTCATAATTGCTTATTAAAGTAAAACGATTGGGCACAATTTTTGATATGAAAACAATTTTTATTCCTTTTCCCAAAACTATTAAATAAAGGTTCAAATTTTGAAAAAAATTATTAAGGATATCAGTTAAATATAAATGAGCTGGGTAATATTGTTCCCAAAAAGTGAAATAAGGAAATATAATACTATTTAATGTTGTCAATTTATTAGAAGGTAAGTATTCTCTTTATGATGCAACTTCAATTGTAACATAACAAGGACAGCAAATTCAATGTGAGAATTAAGAGACGTGACTCTACAGTGAGACTTTTTTAAAACATAACCATCTACCGCTAGCGCAGCAAAAACATTAAAGAATTGATGAACAAGATTTCAGTTGGGCCAATACAAGCTTTAAGCTCATTTCCCGGCCATCCGGATCAAGGTAAATCATAAGAATGTTTTTTGCCATATAGACTTATCTTTTGACGAGTTTCATCCTCTTTTATGAAAAATTACATAACTTCATATCTAATATCTAATAATTAAGAACCTTAATTTTGGGGTATAATGTGGTTATTTGGACCTTAAAATTGATATTAATATACAATAGGTCTCTCTTACATCTATTTCTGAGGTTACTTAAACCACATGTTCACCCCTGATAAAGTCCATAACTGAAAATTGTGATAAATCCTATTATATTATCTTGAATTATCAATGAGATCTGATGCATTTCTTTTATTTGTATAATATTTTCAAAATAATAAACTAACTTGTTGATATTAAATGCCAGGAAGATTGTAGATGATGGGGATTTAGTAAACACAAAATCAAAGGTCATTATACAAGTAATGAATTTTCTGTCCAGTCCAAGGAATTGTATCAATATTAACAAACCGTAAGGGGAGATAATTGTGAGGTTAAAAAGTTCAAATAGGGTTAAAACAATTTTTGGTACTTTTTTTTTGCCTCTGACTAGGGAAATGGGCGGTTACCGTAAACAATTTAGGGGGATTTTCAAAACAATCACATATTCATATTACCTTGTTGTATTATTCAGACTCAAAAAATGAAAACAAGAAATAACTGTCTCTGGTCCTCTAGTAAATTCAAACTCATATGTAATCATGTCTTTTGTAGAGCAGTCATGACAATGACTACATTGTATGGGCGTATTTGTGAAATTGAGGTGATAAGTTATAAAGTATTTCTGATCATTTTTTTTTATCCCATTTTGGGCAGTAAATATATCAATTAGGAAAGAAATTTCATGGAGTAAACTGCAAGTTTTGGGAATTAGGAATAAATATGAAATCATCCATTGGAAATGGGACCCATAATTCGCCCTAGAAAAAGCCCTGCTTGTATTGGAATATGGACAATTTGATAGATCTTCTATGGTATATGAATTCTTCTCCAAATTTGTTCATAAATCTGTTATATATAAGTGTATTAATATAAAGGACAGGACCCAGTAAAGAAAACAAATGATACTTATATCCAAGAATTAAGCTACAGGTATAATTCCAATTCCTTTCCAACCCCTTTTAGCAGACTTCTCTGTATTGACTATTTGTAGAGTTGTATATATATTTTTGAATGGTGTTTGATGTCTTTAAAACATCTCGGGTCATATGAAGAAATGTGCCTAAAAGATTCCAAGTGTAGAAATGGGGGCAGCAGATTTGTACGGTTTCTACTGTCTCCTCTGTACTTGAAAGAAAACCCCTCAATTTAGCAGGGGGGGCCACATTAGTCGCCTCCTGTAATAACTGGCATTGGGATACAACAGGTCTTCTCTCCCGAACCTACAGGGATTAATATACCGTAAAAACCTGTGTAATTTGCGCACCTATGTAATTTGCGCAGGTTCTTTTTGAGGCTGAAAATCTGAAAAAGGGCTTCTATTCAAATATTTTGCGCACCGAAAAAAAATTCTGTTCATGTTCCGAAAATCGATCTCTGAAAATGACAGACAAACCGCCTGGGATTTTTAGGATTTTTGTTATTTGTTTGGTAAGTAAGGTTAGTTGGTAGAATTTACATTCTGTGTTTCAAAAGTTTTGTAAAATAAATAAAAAATATTTTTTAGGAGACTGTACACATGGAGCATGTCAAAACAAAGACATTGCTTCGTGTGTTACACTGTATGTTATAACAAAAATTGTGATAAAACAGCTTAAAATTACCAGAAATCAGCAGAACGTTATCATTAAATTTCTCTTTTATAAAAATCATGTTGTACAACATCATGCTATTTGTCACATAAACAAAATGATGTACAATTTCTTTTAATATAAACTTAATTTCATTCCACATTAAGTTGCATTACACCACATAACATACAAAGTAGAGGAATGGGATCCGGAAACAAGTTGAAATAACTTATATAAATCCGTTTCCGAATTTCTTTTAAAAGAACCCCAAAAATTATGAGATACATGTGCACTTTTAAATGATTTTTCATGATTTTTCAAAAACAACATTCATATAAGTGTTATTAACAAGATGTTGTTTTTGTTTTTTTACAAAGTTGATGATAAATATGTTTATATGGGAGAGCTTTGCAGGCAGATTAAGGGAGTGTAAATGTATCAGTTGACACACAGTATGTTATAAATCAGTCGCAATTAATGAAATTACAATTTAATGCTATTTTTCTTTATTCCTACGTTTCAGAATCATGTGGAGGTTGTACTATAAAACATTTGATACCGGAATGGATTGCAATGCAATACAGTCTATAAATACATTTTTCTCTGAACAGAGGCTTAACCAAATTTTTCTGAGAAATTGGTCGACTGGATGTATTGTGTGATAATCCCATTCCGTTGAAACAAAAATTAACTCATTCACCCCTGAAATGTGATAATGAACTATTCCAACCTGTGAATTGGAAGAGTTCAAATGTGTCTTCAGGGGTGAATGAATTTAGAATGTTTCTATACTGTGCATTGGAAAATCATCAAGGAACAAGATTTCGCGTGATATTGATATTAAAGTAACTTAATGTTTATAATAAACTTAATTTGCATATTAGAATTCAGCTAACATAAGTTCATATTAATTTCATCATATATAATGTATTTACCACGTAAATTGTAAAATATAGTCTTCTATATATACAGTTTCATAACGGGGAAAAATCTACATTTGTGAGTGTTGGAGGGCATTCATTTTCATTCCAAGAAGAGGTCAACTATTAATAGCACTTTTTGAACTTTGCTTACTTATAAAACAACTGCTCGACATAAATGACATAAATAAATAAATGATTTTCGTTTGCTGGTATCGCCTCTAAATAATGTTCAGTATATTGATAGTTTTAGAGTATCCTGTTGAAGTTGAAGTTGAAATGGCATAAGGTTACCTAAGTTACTGCAACAGCACAGCTTCTGACATTTAGACAATTTTTATATATTGGTGGTGTCAGATCGAGGTAGAGGAGGTCGGATATTAATATTCATACTTAAGGTTACCATGTGCAGGTTGAGCTTATGTAGGAAATCACAAATTCAGGTATGTCTTTGGTCTGATGGTAGTAGTGTCTGGTTGCAGTGATCAGGGAAATATATGTCTACAAGGTATTTGGGGGGGGGGGGGGGGGGGGGGGAATCCACTTCATAAGAGTTTTAAGAAATTGAAATTGTCAGTCACTTTCCCTCAGGTCAATTTGAATATTTATGCTTTGTAGTGAGATTCAAATTCATTCCTTTTTCAAATACACAACATTTATATATTTTTAAATTATTTATTTGTGAAAGCGAATATTTAAATTTTATCTGAAAAAAATCAAAATGTTAATTTATTTGTTAAAAGGAACTTTTAAAATCAACATTGTATCTTTGTTTTATCCAATCTGAAAATAAGGGCAGGGGGCTGAATATACAAAAAATACAGTGGAATTCTTTAGTGTTTTGTCTGGTGTGGGACAGGAATCTTTCATTTATCATTTTAATTACAGCATGTGTTTTTAGCTCTATTGCTGTCTAAGTTTACTTATTTTTCTTTTCTATCAGGAAGAGGAAAGCAATATGTCTGGTGTCCGCTCTGGACGAAGGTCTGGCCGTCGCCCGGGGAGACGTCCGGCAAAGGTTGATGTGAAGGCAAAGCTGGAACGCAGTCGACAGAGTGCTCGGGAATGTCGTGCTAGGAAGAAACTGCGTTACCAGTACCTTGAAGATTTAGTAAGCAGTAGGGAGCAAGCAATTTTCAGACTCCGAGATGAACTTGAACTGGTGAGTACTTAATTAAGGCATTTCAGGGTGAAAGAGTTGAATTTATCAGGTGATTAAATCACCTGCCAATGTCGCTGTTTTTTGACTGCGAGCTCTCCGGTCAAGCAGAATCCTCACCAGCCAAGACCTTACAGATGCTGAGGAATGCAGCAAGACTTCAAGGAGTACATTCAACTGAAGTTCAAAAAACTTACACTATCATAAACGAAACTCTACTCATAAAATCTCAAACACTAAGAGACTTGTATCTCTTCATTGTGTTCCTTACAAAACCCCCCAGTCTTCAAACTGTGCGACACCCTACCTGCCAACTGGTGATGAGATTTTATCGAGTTACGTCTGATATATTCATGAAACCATTCTTATGCTTAAGCATGGGTTCTGTGCCTGAACCAAGATTCTAGTAACTTCCTTTAATCACATGACATGGTGGAAAAAATAAAGTGTCGTTCCAAAATTCTTCCAAATCATTGAAAAAATGTGAATTACAAATTATTTACCAAGGAACAAGGAATGGGGCTTGAGCAGAGAATCTCAGTTTGAGCATGATAATGTTTTCATGAATTCACCAGATATACAGCATCTTGGATCACGGTCATGTTTTGGATATTCCAAAGCAGTAGCAAGAGAAATTATTCCTGTAAAATCTCTCATGTAAAAAGGCCGATTCTGGAATATTTCTAATACTAATAGTTCAGCTTGCTGAATATACTTGTTCGGCATTATGACCAGATATTACAGTAGTTTTCAGTTGAATTGTAAAAAATATCATTATTATTTGTACTATGTATCTGTTTAGCATCTGGTAAACATGTAAATTGAAAGTTTATGAGGGCTTTTCTTAATAATGTCAGACAAAAAAAAACGTTTCAGAAAAGGGCTATGATGAACCAGCCCATGTCCACACTTGCCAACCCTCCCTATTTAGGAGGGAGACTCCCGATTTTGGACCCTTAAATTTAGTATTTTCAATCAGTGAGTTTGCTTAACCATTTCTATATTCTTAGACTTAATTATTTCATCTAAAAGAACAACTCAACATATGTCATTTAAAGGGTTATTTTGTCTCTAGGGGGTAAACACATATTTGTTATATGATATATTTTTTGAAAAGACAGTATCTCCCCCATGGAAATTTCAAAAAGGTTGGCAATACTTAAATACATAAAATAAAGTATGTCCATAAAAGAAAATACATAAAATACATTAATCTTCATATATATATTTTTTTTATCAAAGACATAGAATTATTAAAACATGTAGGAGTTTCCTCATGGAAACTTGATATTGTCTTGATATTTTAAAATGGCCATGAGAGTCAAATACATATTTTGGCTGGACTGCACTAGTGTGAAGAGAGTATTACGATGTATTCTAGGGCCATTGTTGTAACATGGTGAAACCTTCATTAGGTGAGAGCATTTTTAACAAAGTGCTTTTCTAAACTACTTAAACGCCCGATAATACTTTTACTCATGTGAGGAGATCCAAACATACATACAAAAGTTGGTTGTCACACCCCATTAGATACTAATAAAAAAAGGATGGACAGATATTCAAGTTAAAATAAATTAAAAATAAATCTTGTATAAAGTTCAAAACACAATCAAACGTTCTGTTTACGATTAACTGCACCTAAAACAAGCACTTAGATAACACAACACAATGTCATATCAGATAGCATGAAGGTTATAAAAGGTCGCAATCCTTCAGGAAATATTGTATCTCATACTGGGGAAAAAACACACTTCAATTACGCCCTATTCAAACAATGATAATGGCACTAGCTGTTAAATGGACATACACACCCCGAAAGGATTGTTAGGACACCCCCGTAAGTATCAAGGAAAAATCACCTTTTGATACTATTTGTCAGTCCATTACGCAGAAGTGATAGCGACAGTCGAGTGTCAATCCCGTACCGTATTACGATAACTCTGATCTTCAAGTTTCAAGTTTATTTGAACTTTAGGCCATTGGCCCATCAGTATACAATGCATATTATACACAAATCATTGATAGATAACTGAACTAAAGATAAATGCACTGACATGAACTTGCTGTGTTATCTTACACTACAAGGCTACATAAGGACAGGTATACCGAAAACCTCAGTGTCTGGAAACAGGTCATTTCATTATTAAGCTGACATGACAAATTTATAAATACGAGGATTTATCTCTTATAATTATCATTTCATAATTATAATTATCATTTCATAATTTCAGTCGGTAATTTATATGATTTCGGATCTGGAAATGATCGTTTTACTATTTCAGCCTCCAAGATTACTTTATGATTTCATATAAATTTCCTAGAAGCTGTCATTTCGTATTTCCAGCTTCTAGAAACGGTCATTTCATATTTCACTGTTTTTATAGACAGATATTTCATGAAGTCATTTTTTGGAAATGTTCAATTTCATATAAAACACTCATTCAACAAGCTTACACATAATAAAAACTGCAATTTAAGTGACCAGTTTTTTTTTTATCAATGGCGGTTTATAACGAATAAAAATGTGGGTTACTCATGCATTGGATATTGATCCATCCCTCTCTTACGCTGCAGGTATATGTTGCTTCTTGGATCAATTTCGCTATCTCAGAAATCCAAGGGACCGAGTAGACTTATTTTATGAACAGTTTTATTAATTAAGAAAAATACGAAGAAACAAAGAAAAAATAGGGCAGAACAAAACCGAAATTCCAACACAAAATCGATGAAGCTAGTGCAGAATATGTTTACATTTTTATGACATTTAAAAAGAGTATAAAAATTAATATAGACAACTTCCATGTGAAACTGTTTCATGGACGTCCAAATTATACTTGATAGGGATTGATTGACACACCAGTCGGGTAGTTACATCACACCTGTTCCATTACATACGTACTAAGATGTATATATTTAAATTTAGCAAACTAATTTCGTTAGATTTTATGGATGCTATACTACACTACGTGGGCTAGCCCGAATTTCTTTTGGACTCAACACAGGATATTTTGACATTTTTTACATATATAAAGTTTAACACATATCCTTCAAAGTGTCAAAAATTCTTGTCTTGGGGCCAGAGAAACTTCAAAGTTATGAATAATAATAATAAAACAGAAAAACTGTTTACATAAACCACAGTGGCAGTACACGGAATCCAGGAACACAACTTGAATGATACCATAAACCAACACAATGACCTGACAATTACATAACTACCGAAATGTTTAAAAGTTAATTGTTTGTGCTAGTATAGCGTCAATGTTTGTTGTGGACCGCAGTATTCCTTGTCTGGTTAACTCACCCACCCCTGAAACCTCATAATGAACTATTCTAACCTTTGAATTGGAAGAGTTCAAATGTGTTTTCAGGAGTGAATGAATTAAAAGTGTTGGCGTAAGTGTGTCAGTGAGTCAATAGCATGTGGGCAGTTTAGATTCATTCACAACTGCATACCACAAGTTACAGGTTAACTCGTAGGGGGAAAAAACACCGTTTATTTCTTAGACTAAAGGGAAATGTTATTGAATTCATTGAATTGATCATGAGGTTTGTAGTCGGTTCTTTGAATCTGAGGAATGTATCGTCCCACACGCCACAATGCGTGTATGTAGATACACACCTGTCATTTATCTCAGGCGACGCGTGGGGATATATCAAATTAAGTGCACCGGACTTTCATGTTTCCGTATAAAGAGAAAAATTGAAATACAAAAGATATCATGTGGGGTAGATTCATTAACATATAGAGTCATTGTACAAGCCCGTCTATACACCTTCTGCCTAACGACAAACTTAATAAAAAAAAAGACGTACACTCTTCCTATGAAATACTTAAAAATTGATAATTTTTCATTTTAAGTCAAATACGTTTAAGAAACAACTGATAAATAACGAGATAGCTTAATATGTTTAGGTGAATTCCCGCTTATTTTTGGCAATATTTTACCATCTTTAATACATAAAGCATAAGGATTATTTTCTCCAGTATTAAAAAGTTTTTAATCGTCCGTAAATACCACAAGCAAAAGAAAATTTTAAACGATTAGCATTATAATAATTTTAGAAAATAGTTTCCTAGTCAATTATATGTAGGTGTGGTTTGTTTTTGTGCAAGATTCGATAGGATGGTCACATGTGAAACCTGGGAAGGTCGAATTATCTGAAATATGGTATCGGAAGGGTGTAGGATTGTGAAATGCTCCACAAGTCGCACATTTCTAAAATGTGTCTTTCGCAAAAAAATCTCTAAGCTGCTAATATTTTTGTATTTCCTGTGTTAAGACAATATTTTTAAATCCCATCTTAATTACTGTAAGATTTGAATATGACAAAAATGAATATATAAAAGATGAAAATTTAATATGTTAAAGCTAACCGAACAACTGGACCCTTCTGTCATTAAAACTGTGATGGGCAGATGCACTGTACATCGATGATGCAATACAGGGATGGTATATTTCTAGAAAACAGTGCTAGACCAAGCATGTAAACAGACCCGCATTATAACTGGAAATGTATCAATTTCATTATTCTGAAAAGATTTAATCAGAATGTTATCAAAGTACCATCTTAATATAGGACATACATATATATGTATGATGTCAATCAGATTAAACTTGTTTTGAATGCTTGCCAAATTTAGGTATAAAACGTGATGCAGAAAAATATGAACTTAAATATGGAGAGGTGACCAATGTAATATATTGAAAATTATATTAGATCTTTAGTTGCAATCACACTAGCTGTTTATTAAGTTCTATAATAACATATATAGAAGGTACGACGTAGTACAAAAGAAAGGGAACATTTTTAACAAAGGAGAAAATTATCCATTATACGGCTCTTCATATAAGCTACTCTACAAAATAGCGTAGCGTTTTCATATTGTTTTAACTTATACAAAACATTACGCAGAGATATATCCCGACTTCAGAAATAGCTTTGTACACTGTAAAGGGTATATGGCATATATCAAAATATCGCACATCAATAACCAGTGTCAAGAGACGAATACACTTATCAGGATCCAGTGACAATCAAATATGACAAAGGGGTATAGGAATAGTTGGGAGTCAATATGAGAATATGTTTTCATGTAGTGTCGATGTAAGCTGATCCAGCTTCTTGTTTGAACAATTTACACCATAAAAACACTCGGATAATCCTTGTCACGTGTGTGTAACGATCAATAATTTACAAAATGTTCCGACTCATTGTCACTTACAGTCAAGTAGATTATACTTAAGTATTATTTACTATAGTTACTCGGACTCAAAGTCTGGTTAAATACTAGGACACTCGGTTTAAAAGTCTGGTTAAATACTAGGACACTCGGACTCAAAGTCTGGTTAAATACTAGGACATCAATCCCGCGGAGAGTAGGATCTTTACTCAGGGGGTTCAGTAGCATTGATTGGCTCACGTTGATCTGACGTTATACAAGTCATACAGTATCCCATACTCTTTTTGAGGATGTACTTCACTTATTCAATCTGTAAATTATACGTTTGTCCGAGAACTCGAGTATGCGGTTTTGAAACACGTTTTGACAATAGTCGCTATTCAGTAATCTAATTGAGCAGTGTGTATGACATTGAATTCTACAAGATAATTGCAGTGTTACATCGTGACACAAACCGACTTCACAGGCTATGACTTGGTTTATGTACTAATGAATATGTAATCTACCGAAACGTTTCGGCACAATGTCAATATCCTAACTCGAAGTCGATAGACGAAACATCAGCAGCAGGAGTCGAAAACAATTACAGCCATATTAAACAACTACAATAAAAACAATTCATCTACAGCCATCTTAAACAACTATAATAAAAACATCCAATTTACAGCCATCTTAAACAACTACAATCAAAACATCCAATTTACAGCCATGTTAAACAAATACAATCAAAACATCCAATTTACAGCCATGTTAAACAACTACAATCAAAACATCCAATTTACAGCCATCCTAAACAGCTACAATCAAAACATCCAATTTACAGCCATGTTAAACAACTACAATCAAAACATCCAATTTACAGCCATCTTAAACAACTAAAATCAAAACATCCAATTTACAGCCATCTTAAACAACTAAAATCAAAACATCCAATTTACAGCCATGTTAAACAACTTCAATCAAAACATCCAATTTACAGCCATCTTAAACAACTATAATAAAAACATCCAATTTGCAGCCATCTTAAACAACTACAATCAAAACATCCAATTTACAGCCATCTTAAATAACTATAATAAAAACATCCAATTTACAGCCATCTTAAACAACTAAAATCAAAACATCCAATTTACAGCCATGTTAAACAACTACAATCAAAACATCAAATTTACAGCCATGTTAAACAACTACAATCAAAACATCCAATTTATAGCCATCCTAAACCACTACAATCAAAACATCCAATTTGCAGCCATCTTAAACAACTACAATCAAAACATCCAATTTACAGCCATCTTAAACAACTATAATAAAAACATCCAATTTACAGCCATCTTAAACAACTACAATCAAAACATCAAATTTACAGCCATCCTAAACAACTACAATAAAAACATCAAATTTACAGCCATCCTAAACCACGACAACAGCATATCATCTGATATTAACTGCAAGCCAATTAATTGTTTCAACAATTTATAATAAAAACAAACGAACGAAGTGTTGTTGTTAATTTTTGGGGAAAACTGGAGAGAGAGAGAAACAACACCTATTGGTCTGTTTGGTAAGTTGGAAAAGGGGAAGTCAAAGAGAAGGAATCGACGGAAAAAGAATTTCTGTTGTACATTCAAATAGCTCCAATTGGTATTCGTTTTAACGTTTTTCTAGGGTTTTTTGCCTTTAGTCCCGTATATAACGGATATAAATGTGACGAGGAAAGTGGCTGGTTTTGTTATTTGTCATAAAACATTGCAAGAAGTTACCTATAGTTTAATCAGTCAACGTGGTTATAATCTATTCAAAGTAACGACTGAAATATATGGTGGTTTTTAATATTACGTAAGTACAATATATTTGCGTATAGATAAAACAATTGCACACTTCCCTTGGGTGTTATTGGTCGGCGTCGGTTTGTCAACAAAATTGTTTGCATACACAATTTATTATCTTGAGGATTAGGTGTTTTTCTAGGACAACAGATTATAAAAAGGCAGGCGATCAACAATAACAAGAAACACCAGGAACTATCGGGTGTGTGGTTAAAGAAATAACATGACTTTGTCACCTTATCCAATGTATGTGCATGCTGTCATTCTTAAGGATCCCGGTACCACTGCCAGAAATAATAAATATATTGGAAAAACAATTCTGGCATGATATTTTTATTGATAATTTACGAAAGGAAAAGCAGCCATATTTTGCTGAAGTTTATGAAAAAATAAGGTCGAAATAAACAAGACAAATAAACAGTAGTGTTCTGTGAGTTAAAATGCGATAGGGGCTGCACTGAGATTCGACTTTCCAACAATATTCTGCCTCTTTATAACAAATTAAAATACCTGGTCAATGGCATTATCATGTCAAAGTCCTGCTAAATTTACATAAAAAACGACATTATTTAAAAGTTGCTGTTCATGCGAAAAAACTGCAGTGGAATTCTTCAGGGTTTTGCCTTCAGTGAGATAAGAATCCTTATGGTTCGCCGTGTCTCCTTAAACAATATTTAAACACTTATCTCTCAATACATCAATACATTAGGTATCAAAAAACACCTAAATACACATTATGGTTTTTTTTAATCATATATTAAGAATATATAGGGTGATTTTTTCGACCAGTGTATAGTATTGAAAATTAGCTTCCTTGAAAAAAGAGCTAAAACAAATAAGGAAACTGGTGTTTAATTTGCTTTGTGGCGTTCAGTTCAATACGGATATGATAAGCTAAATGTCATTGATTAATAAACAAAAGTTTAAAATCTATAGCATTACTAGGTTCGATTACCTCGATGTAAACTTTTGGCAGTTGTTTATGCAGTAATTACATTTGAAGTACAGATGGTAAAAACAAGTTATCTGTTTATATCTATATTAATTAAGGCAACGAAGTGACAACACAAGTACATAATATCTAACTAAAGGAAAACGGATGTTGGCACCTTGTCGAATATGGGTGTTTCTTAACATTTTCTGTTGAAATTTACGCCTGACCTTGACCTACTTCAGCTATGCATTTGTAGCATCACTGCGTTGCTTACTAAGACATAATCGACAATGCGACAATAAACGAACCTAGTGACCGAACTACATTGTCTGGCTATCATTGCAAACTAAGTGGAGACTAACATGACGAACAACGTTTACATTTGACCTTTGAAGAAAGACTCCGAACTGATGTTACATCAAAGGGGTCAGGAAAGGTCAGTCATGTACGTTTCAGGTTAATGTTTTATAAGATTGTTTTATATTATTTTAACGTTGCAAGCGTGTTAGTATTTTCCTTTGGAATATCACACCGGTCAAACAGGATAATATCATATGTTGAACACATCATTAAAATGCAATATGGTAAGTGATAGGAAAAAGTGTTTTTAAATAATTTCGTGGCTTTCGTTGAGTTGATCATTAACGATCTAATTAATAAATTGATTATACACATGACATAATATGGTTTACGATTTCATGAAACCTTAGATCTCTTATAATTTCCTGGATATATACTACAAATTCTCTTACGGTGATAAATGAAATAACGTGATATGATTCAAGGCATTACAAATGTGTTTTCAATAATGTACGATTTGAATGATTTTTACTTCTTAGAACCACATCAAAATATTTGGAATATGAAATGAATTATTTTTTGTTTAGTATTTTAAACATTTATTTATTACAATTAACATCATGTATTGTCATTTTACATAGTGTAAGCAGTGGTGCATTCAACTGGATAATGGAAAGATACCGGAAAATTTGGCAGAGAGGGTAGCAGAAAAAACAAGAATAAAGGAACAAAGACGGGGCGAGTCAAGCTCAGAGGGGAGGGATTCTCCACCCGGAAGTAGTACATCATCAGCGTATAGCCACGGATCTCCAGACAACAATCAGGGATCTCCACAGGGGGCCACGGGATTCGGAGAACGTAAACACCACCCCGTAGATGTGAATATATATCCAAATCCGCCTGTGACCTTTGCCCAAGGAAGTATGATCCCAACTCTGAGTGATACCAGTGGTGGCACATTATTTAGTCCGTGGAGAAAACAAAGTCCGGTCCTGTCGCCACCAGGTAGTCAAATTAGGGCCGTTTCTTCCTCTTCAACACATACGTCATCATTTACTAGCCAACGGTCGTCGATGTCTTCTTTCACGGGTCAACGGCCGACTTTGGCTCAATATCCTGGATTTCCAAAATTTGATGCAATATCTACTTTGGAGAATTTTAGTGCTAACTTCATGGACAATAGTGGAAGAGGTACTGCCGATAGTTTTATGAGGAGACACTCAGCTCATGGTGCATACACCGTTAGACCTGAACATACTGTTCAAAACCCTGTCACGTCGCAGATCACGCCAACTATTTCGTCACCGATGACGTCATCTGGTCAGTCATCTTTCACGTCACAGACTGGCAAGGACTTTGTGTATGAGTATAACCAGAGAAAAAAATCCTTAGAATATACTGTGCTTCAAAACCCCAAAATACAGAGAAAGGATTCTGTGGATATGTCAGTGGGGGGTGATTTCCGGACTATGTTTCTTGATGAGGAACTGTTGCAAACAATTCCAGAAAACAGAACTGATTCGCCTTTTCAAATTGTACCAAAAGTAGATAGTCTTAGGGTCCCCCAAACTAATATCCCTACGTCTGTATGGAATACAGAATCTTTCGGAATGCATGAGTCTATTGTTTCTTTACTCAACGTCGGAAACAATCCGACTGAACAGTATCCAGTTGTCCAGACGTCGGTCGAACCTAAAATGCCAGCCACATCCACAAATGTATCCGTGGTTAACTATACCGCGTCAGACAGAGGACAAGGCCGTGTCAATCAGCATAACGACACCAGTGATAGCTCCGATGTACCCAATGATAGCATTTTACCAACAGTTCTAGATGAATTTAATTTTTGAAGATGAGCTCAATTTGTTGATTGAATTTTTATCGATGAAAGTGTTATTGTGGAACACGATAGGCCTTACATCATATTTTCTGTAACATTGCCGTAATGACATAGGTGTGGGATCTTGGACCTGAACGAGTTTTATGTTCTTAGTAGGTGTTAATCAATCCGCATCGTTTGATAATGTATGACACGTTATCATTATAGGTAAAGATGTTATATTCACAATGAAATATTCAAAGAATGGTCAGTATTTTTATTTCTTTGATTATGATAGTTTTTACATATCTGTTATTATCAACGTTGTTTTTGTTGAATGGTAATACAATTATATACGGAGATCTGCTATGAGGTTTATTTTATTGTACCTATTTCAGCTGCAACTTCACATTTAATGCATTTTTGATCCGGATCCCTTTCAAAGTTTCGAACCGTTAAAAGGACTTCTTCCCAATCAAGTTAATTATATAAACAAAATTGTAAATACATTCCTTAGCATCTCGATTTTTCGATTTTATTTCTGTCGTCAGTCATGACTTTTGCATTCTTTGACACAGCAATACATAATAATTCAATAAGGATAGTGCGACATCACCCTTTCAAAATCGTCAAAATGGTAATTCTGCTAAAACATATAAGTAAAGACAGTGTTGACTTGGGTAGCAAATCAATTGCTAAAAACTTCTTTTCTAAAACAGTTCATTTGACTGTCGAGTCCCATTTAGATGGCGTATCATGATTTTAGACAAAAGAATAATATTACCGTAATTTTAGCGGAATTATGCCGCTGCGTCATCATATTGCAGGCTGTTTTTTTTAGTTTGCTTAATCTTTGTGCTTCTATATTATTTAGTCAAATTGATTGAATTTTATTTTTCATAATTTTGGGCATTCCATTGCACGATGTAAATATTATCATTTAATATTTATTTTTTTGTACATTTGTTTTAGGGTCGTAGAGCTAAGTTGGTGTTTTAAAACGCTTTTGTTGGTATCTTTATTTTTTTTATTTCGTAGACTAGTCCTAGGTAAATATTTCTTTATGGTACGAATACTTAATAAAATGTACTCATTCAATTAGTCATAGGGCAATCATTTTTCACAGTTATTCATTTTAATATGGGTTAAAGTATTTGTTATTGTTTTGTGGTATATATATATATTAAGATTTTATCTTTCTTATTTTAGACGTCTCTATTTCCATACTATTATTTACTTATTCTACTCACCATAGTAGTGCAAACAATGTTGTAACAGTTATTCTGTACGAATTATTTGGTTTATTTGATTCATTGTTCATTATGTACCAATTTTAGAAACCAGAGTTATTGATTATAAAATTAGATGAGCATTCCTCCAAAATGCAATCTTATTGTTCCGTTGGAAACCGAGATATGTTATATACAATATATCCATAACGGATTCTCGTATGATGGGACAAACGTGAGATAATTTATAAGGTTAAACTGTGCAGATATTTACATGCATAGAAATACTGAATGTAACATTAACTCTATGAAGGTTTAGAGGTTAGGGATTATGAAATAATATAATCAATTACTGAAGAAAGGTCTTACTGTCCCGTATACGAAATTCCATATGCGTTATATACAATAAATCTATCGAGGGCACTGATTTACCAAACGCGAGACAGTCAATAAGCTTTTAATATGTTCATATCTATTAAAAAGGTTATCAGGTTCATTGAGAAAATAGAACAGAGACTTCAATCATCAGTGTGTTTAGATTGTTATGCAATTTCTAATTTTAAGACAGAACACGATTTTATGTTTCTTTAAAAAAACGTCGTCGAAATAGGGCAAGTTTAGACGTTTAAACAGTGCAATACATTTCATTAGCCATGTCATTCGTCATTTTGTAATTTCTTTACGTTTACCATTATCGTCTCAACAAAACAACAACGTAAGGTTTTATTCACACCGGTGTTTTTTTTTATAAATAGGACAAAATGTTGGTTGATTGGTTTTTTCGAACATATAATGTCGATTTTGCCATCTCCCCCAGCTTATAGTACAACCATGTCAAGCATACTGTATTAGTTTGTTAGTTTGTAATGTGCACTTTTTTGTGCTAAGTACTGTACACATGTCATCAGAAGCTGTATTGATAACTGTAAGGATACATATATATTCTTTTTGTTCGTTACTTTTTATTTGCAAATTAGAATGTCGTGATTAGTCTGATTTTGTTGCATATTGAATTAGTTTATGTTTTAACTAAACAGGGGGAGAAGGAGACATTAGTCTCAATGATTTGAAAAAAATCTAAAAGAAGTATTCAATCAACTAACCACGTTGTACACTGAAATGGTTAGTATTGATAGTTAAGCATTATGTCATTATTTTGCTGTTTTTGTGTAAATAAATATAAGAAACAATGATCAACACGTATTTACTGTGTTACTGATATGTTTAAATATCTTAAAGATATGTCTGTACATTCTTTTATAGGGTTAACAAAATATACATTATTGTACATCTTTACAGTGCAAGTAAAACCGATAATACTGAAAAATGGCATCTCAGTACTATTGTCTTCTATTCTTACGATAATAACGTTTTTTATACTTATTAACATATATGCAATAAAATTGAAACCAGACGAGTTATGTGTTGAATTTGTTCACGGTCGGGAAATTGCCACAAGAATGATAGTGACGTCACAGACACTTTACGATCATTTTGTACGTACTGTGTCGCGAGTTTTGTTTATTTGACCTTTGACCTCCTAACAGTGATTGACATATCTAGGCGTATACCGAACTGAAATGTGTTTAAGATCACGATTTTGATAAGAAATTTAACTTCAAAACACGATCTTCTTTATATCCATGAGAATTAAAATTTCAAATGTAGGTTTATTCGGATCCAAAATCATGAACCATTGCATAAATTTATATTTTGTCACTGATCAACGATCACGATTTTTTCAGTGCCGATTGTGAAATCAAACTACCACGTTCTGACAAGTGTATTTTGTACATCTTAAGAACACATCGCCACAAAGTCATTTATAACCAGTTAAAAAAAATAAAATTAAAACTAAAGCACATTGAGCTATGCGGAAGAACAGGTAGTAATGTTCTTCCGCATAGCTCAATGTAGCTTTAGTGCACTTGTACTCGACAAAGTGCTTGGCATCAACTATAAACTCCTATATACATGTTATTTACCTTTATTGATTGTAACAGCAACATTACCAATATCAATTGAAATATTAAAGTGTTTTAATTCCATGTGATGGCCTAATCTTTAATTGTGTATGAACCAAATTATAACTAATGCCAACAGCTTCCCTGACAAATACATGCATTTATATCATTTTAATTTGATTATCTACATTGTATATTGTGCCAAAATTAGTTTAAGAAATCAATAAAAACATGAAGTAGAGAGTATGTATATGTACATACACATGCAAGCAAATCGTCTTTGTTTTCATGAAAATACATATCTGTGTTGACAATTTGATCGAAATCAAGCGTAGCACAATATTTTACTTGGGCTAGGTTTTATGATACTGTGTTATTATATATAGTTATGTACAATCAGATGAATATCATAGTTGTTATCACTGCTTTTACATACCCCTTGTTTATAAAACTCGTTCCATTTAATGGGAAATTTTACTGAGCTGATCTAATTATATACATGAGAGAGCACATCAGAAAAATAAAGCAAAAATTGGTAAATAATCCATGTAGGTATTTGGTAATGCTGTTTTTTATTTTTTTATTTAAGTGTTAATTCAATGGCACATCTGCAATACCTTTAGCATGCTAATATTGCTGCATGGGCTAGTCTTAAAATGTTTGTAATAACACAAAATGTATGTTAGCAAAAGGTTCTGGTTCTATTTCTAAGTTAATATATCCAAAATGATATTATGAAGAAAACAGGAGTTTAACTTTAACAATATTATAATAAATTTGTCTCTCGAACAATTTTAAAATGAATTAGTGAATTTCTGATGGTATTAAAGAAAGTTACCATATATACTGTTAAAACAGATCTGTCCTTCAATTCAGTATTTTTAAAGTAAATTTATGTACTCTTAGCCGAGAAGGTTAATGTATATTTTGCATTTCTTACAGTAATGTAAATAAAACAACAAACATGTATCAAATATATCAAAATATCCTTTGTATATTTAAACAAATAGATGTAGGACTGAATCAATTACAGTATTCAATCCTATGTCTATTTCCAAACTATCATATTGGGGATTTATAAAACAGTTTTAAAAGAAGAAAAGGGTGTCAGTTAAAAGAACACGAAAAGAAATGAATTTTAAGCACATAGTGTGAATCAAGGAAATCGGTCAGGTATTTTCTGACTAAGAATGTATTGCGAAATTGCCGTAGATCGTTTGGCATGTAATGTATCACGCTGTCCTGCAGTTGTTTTGTAATTTTCAGGCCTTGACATTTACTCCTAAACACACAGATAACTATAAACATGGCTATTTCAAAAACATGTGATTCTTACAAATAATGGTCTGATGTCCTTTCAACAGTAAACAAAACCGCTGTGAACTAGATTGATCTGGTGTGATGTTATTCGGATAATCTCGGTAAAGATCTACCGTAACAGTGAGTCCCGAATAGACCTAACTCGCATAGTAAACAACTCGCTTCAGTAAACACACGAGTTCTAAGTAGGTCATTTGCGTAGGTTGACGTCACTGAGAGTTTTATGAATGAAGCACTGGACGTAGTAAAGTGTTTGTAGTAACGATATACAAATGTGATGACGTAAGTACATTTCCTGTCAATGATGTTTAAGTCGTTTTGCTTTGTTTTTGTATATTTTATTTGTAATTATCTCTTTGATGTCATAGACACCAGACGAAGCCTACTTATCTATACGCCTGAATGTATATGATTAACTTGTTGACTTCATTATGTTTTTATTTTAACGTAATGCAACATATGATAATAAACACCATCATGTTATTTCAACAACACCATTGATACCACGTACGGGATATTCCAATTCCAGGGATGCATCAAGTGCCCATTCATAATAAAACCATTTTGTTATTTAAATTGTTTTAGTTCGGAACAGGTCAGGTATGGGTAGGCGTTGTGCACTTTATGTCGTCTACTGATACGATTGTGTATGTGGGCGTGGTAAATGATAACTTTTATTTCAAAATTTGTATTTTCTCCAAAATGAGATAGCGTAGGCGTCATGAATAACTTTGATGTGTCAGCTTCTTTTGTATTTACACCAGGGCGTTCTCTCTCTTTCTATAATGCATAGGATCGGGTCGTTTGGTGAAATTCATGTTAAATGCATAGATTACGAAATATATGAATTACGATATTTGCTCGAGTTTAGACCCACACCCTTTCTATAATTTATAATATAATAAGTCCACTACATTCTTCACCTCTAGTTTATTTTCCTACTGTAAAACTAATATATGTGTGCGTACTTGCTTGGAGTTGAGTTGTCCTTGAGAAATGATGGCTACTTAACCATATTATTTCGGTTGCTATTATGGGAGAAAAACGGTTTAATTTGGGGGGGGGTTTCAGCTATCTTCTCATATATTTTGTCATTAAATTGCGATATTATATTTTTATTTACACACCGCTTACAGTTATCCTGTTTTTAATTGGAAACCCTTTATATCTCCCCCGGAAGTATTGCTTTCTCCTTTATTCCTCTCTGTAGATTCAACATACAATTTTAGATATCTTGAAAAAACGTTTCGAACATTTGATTTGATTCCATCATTTTGGCATATATACTTTTGCATCAAATTATCACATCGGATCGTGATGTAGAAAAATTTCATGAACCAACACCCACTTTGTGTTAATGTTTTACATGCGAGTTTTTCCATGTGGTGTGGTATTTACATTTGCAAAATCCAAAATCACTGGTAGGAAAGTTCAGGACGCGTATTCATGACACCTGTCAGCATTGATTCTGTGCTCAAACCAACTTTCTTGTATCTCACTTAGATAATGTCAAACGATCCAAAAGTGAGATATATTAATAATGAAAGCAGTATCCGGGTTTTAGTCTCTTAATTTTTTTCCAAATAATTGACTAAACAATAGATATGGCTTGAGCACAAAATCCATGCCTGAGCATGAGAATGGTTTCATGAATACGGGCTCAGATTTGTAATGAATTCTTGAGTTGCAAAAATCTCTGCGATATCAGGAGCAATACTTTTCTAATGTTGATTACGTATGGCAAATTCCTTTCTCAGTTACTTTTAAAGTTTACAAGTAGATAATAGTGTTCTTGAGACAATTCAAACGAGAAATCTGACAAATCTATAGTTTTCTTAAACAAAACACACTCTTTTTGACAAATACTATGTCCTTGAGGTCAAATGATATAGTCTGTGGGTTTTGTACTGAGGCAATTTGAGATGATTGCAAGGAACATAAAAAGAAGAGTCTGGTTTAAAGAATTATATATCAGCTTATTAAGCCAGAATATAATATATGAAAGGATCATTTTTTAGATACTTAAGTTAGTTAAATCGTAACCATCCTCTGGTGATTTGTCAAATAACCCTTTTAACATCTTGGTAAGGTAGGTTAGGTATGGTTTTCATATATCTACACTCTGCTTATCACCAAACTTTGTACTTACACCGGATCCGAAATGATATTGAGAGGAGGGAACTCTTAATTAGTTGGTGCTAAGATGAATATCCAGTCACACAGCATGTAATTAAAACTGCATACAATCAAAACGAAAAGTCAAAGTTAACAAAAAGGTTCAAGTTGGTCATTAAGAAACTAGATGTATGATGGCTGTATCAAATAGACATTTGTTGCAAGATATGAAAATGAAGATGTCGAGGCTAGGCACATTTGGTAAGCAATTGCTTTCAATAAAACGTCAGATGTCGAGGCTAGGCACATTTGGTAAGCAATTGCTTTCAATAAAACGTCAGACCTTACTGTTGCTAAACTAGATGATCAATCATGTCTGATTGATCTGCATTTAATTAAGCATGTCGATCTCTGTGTTGTAAAAAAGTGGCCTTTGAGTTCTTCTTCAATCATTTAACACATACCACCGGGGTTTTCGCGCTCATGAATACCCATGAAATTTGAAAATTTATGCTTTTTATTTGGATTATATGCACATGCACTTTTACCGCACAAAACAGTGATGTAACGTGATGTAAAATTGAGCGTTAGCATTAACGTTATGGCGACTATTTGTCAACGGTTTGACATTATAGCCATGTATGAGTAAGCTTTCCTGATGCATATAAGCATTAAAGAATTGTTGAGTTTCTACTTTCGGCTCCAAAACAAGTTACAGTAGGTAGATAAGGAACATTATCAAATTTTTTTTCAAAATATTTAACGGAAATTATATAGAACATTTCAGACTTCAACAGTGCGTATTGAAAGACCTGAGAGGGCATGAAACATATAGGGTGGATGGGGAGTATTTCCTGGACTTAGTAATTTTTTCCTTCCTTAATTTTAAGGACACTCAGTAAAACCACGTGTCTTTCGAAAATTTATTTATACTGACATAACTTGAATTTTATGAACACATTAACAGACAATCATTTATCAATGATTTTTTTATGTATATAAATATAATAGGGAATGTACATAAATGATGCAATATTAAAAAAAACACACCATTAAAACGCACTCAACAAATTTATAAATATTAAGAGATATACCTTTCAATTAATATTATTTTAATGTATCTATATATATTATTGTGTCTGGTGTTATATGTTACTCTCTTTTTATCAGAAATTGTTCTACAACGAAGAACGGGAAAATAATGAAAATACAATAGCCGGGTAATGTTTATCTGTTACTTGTTAGAACACTTGTTGTTCAAGTTCTTTTTTTTCCCTCTTCTTGCTTGGGTATTTACCTTTTTTGTTATAACTTTGCTCAGAATCACTGACAGAATTGCTGACATCTGTTTTGTGTCATGATTAAAACCGCATCGATATTAACTTTATAAGCAAAATCACTGTCCCAGAATGATTTGGTAACAAAACCTCAGGGACTTAACGACTTATTAATACAGATGTTCAAATTCCGATATTAGAGGAATTACATGAAAGTAAGCAATTTGTTTTGCGCTTGTCATATATTGACTATAGAGATTATATATCTCTGAACATGCAAGTGTAATAATGAATTTGCCGTATATTTTGAAGATATTCAAGATAAAATATTTATGTTATTTATTATGTTATTTATTATGTTATTTATTATGTTATTTATTTAAGATAAAATATTTATGTTATTTATTATGTTATTTATTTAAGATAAAATTTATGATAAAATATTTATGGTATTTATTATGT